TGCTGTTTCAGCAGTTGCACTGATCCTCTTGTGCCTGCCCCATGGAAAGCTGTGTGCATGTGTTCAGAGCTGGAAAAAGACGAGGCACTCGTAATATTGTTCCCTACTCTCAGCTATTTTAGAAGTCATGTATCCCTGTCCACTAAAAGGCAGATAACACATAGTGAGATTCTGTAAAATTGTTTCAGGCTGTGCTCAAGTGTATGTGAAAAGTTGAGGCTCATTTAGGCTCTGGCAGTGTTGTCTTTGCCTTACCCAATCAACTGCTTCTTGGGAAGGGATTTAATGGTTGGCTGAGCTGTGTCCCCTCACAGCTGTGTGTCCCCCCCCCTTTTGTTAGGAGAGTTCCTAAATTTGTCTTTGAGGTGTTCTTGAGTGTATGGAGAGTTTTTTCCTCTCTCTCTGCATTTTGAAACTCATTGTAAATAGCTTCTGATGCATCACTTTGTTAAATGGCATAATGCCTGTCTGTGTTTTGTTATTCTCTGGACGTATCCAATAATTTCTATTACTACAATAAAGTCAGTCATTAAAGCAAAACACAGGGTAACTTAAATATCTCCTTTGCAACTTCTCTCCCCCTGCCATCTCTTCCTCGCTTCAGGGCTGCCATTTTCATTTGTGCCATGGTGTGCTTGTGTGACAGAGAATTATTACTGAGTCACTTTGTTTTGCTTCCTTCACATCTTGGGTTACGTGTGATCTGATCACTTGAGGAAAATGAATTTTCTTTCAGCACTTAAAAAAACCCAAACCAAACAAAAACATGTTATAAAAACCAAAACCCAAACCAAAAAGCCCCGCCAGGCATTAACAAGGCCTTTCTAATCTTTTCTACATTTTCCATGTAAAGTATTGGGCAATACGGTTGTTTGCATCCTCTGTTCTTAGAGGGTGGCTTTTCTTTAACTGGTTGTATTCACCAGCACTGGTCTTCGTGTATTTTCAGTTGCTTTTACTCCCTTCTAGAAAGGACCAGAGAACATCATTGTTGATCTCTGCGTCTCAGTTCCTGTTATGTGGAAGATGGCCTCGTGGGCATTTTGGTGATTCATATTTACTGTAGGTTATTGCTCAATACTTGTCTGAGTAATCAAACTTCTTGGGGAATACTGCATCCTGTAGTGCTGAGTACATTGCAACCTTAGCCCTGAGTTTTGATCTTTTTTAGTAAAATGGCAAAACCAGTGGTCAGCACTGCCTCTTGTGTCTTACTGTGATGTTGTATAAGCCTCTTACAGTAATTTTGCTCTTGGGAACTGATCCTTTTGAGAATTGGTGTTTTGCTGCCAATCCAGTGTAACCTTTGGGTACGCGAGAATTTTATACTTAAGAATTTTATACTTCCAGTCCAGCTGGGAGAAATATCTCTGCACATCCTTGTGCTTGCTTAGCTGTAAATCGACATGACCTAGACGTGACATTTGCTTTGCTCTACAGTTAAATGAGTCGATGTGTTCGCTTTCCTGAGAGTGCTTTTTCATACTCCTTGCACACGGAGCACAGCGCAGCTCCTGATGCTGCAACTGGATCCTCTCTCTAGCCTTCCCTAACAAAGGGGCTGAGTTCTCCCACTTGTTTCTGTCTCCTTCCGAGGCTCTTGTTCTTTTCATGCCTTGAAGCCTGAGTCATGTAGGAAGCGGAGGTGACTCGTAAGTGAAGTGGATCCAGCTCAGTGAAGGCCTTTTATAAAAGGGTAACTGATGGAGCGCCAAAAAGACGTGTCTCTTACAAAATCAGATACATGTACAAACCGCCAGCGGATGCAGGCAGACTTTCCCCCCCCCCCCCCCCCCCACAAGCTGGTTTCGCTATTTTTGGGGTAGAATGCTTCAAAGTATCTGGCACGTGGCATCGAGTTTCATGTAGTAGAAAAGCGAGAAACTGCAGCAACAGTACCTCAGTATCTTCTCATGTTTGCTCACATCGAGCAGGCTTGCTCCCTGAAAACCTCCTTGGCGGGGAGGAAGGAAGAGCTCTGTCACCGCAGGGAAGAGCAGGGCTAGCAGAGCCCAGGCAGTGACTGCTGAGGAGCAGCACTTGGCTCCTTGTGAGGCAAGTAGGTGGGGTACAGAAAATGTGTCTGTTAGAGGGGCACACTGGGGGGGACGTGGTTAGCTTGCACTCTGGGTTAATGTTGCTGTGCTCCCGTTGTAGTTTTGGGAAACAGCTGCTGGGACATTTCCTTGCATGCAGGTGTTTAATAATGCTGGCTGACCTTCCCTCTGTGATTGTAATGCTGTCTTTTCATGACAGCAAACAACAATAAACCCCGTCTGTTTCATCATCCTGGTGATGTCACTTTGTAGACATGAATATTAGATTGCTATCTTCATTAATACACGCTGTTGGTTAGGAAGCATGACAGCATGAATCACTTCCATTAGGAAAATTTATAGACAGAGTATGTAACTTAGTCTAGCAAACCGTCTTTCTTTTTTCTTTTTTTAACTTTTAAATTGGGATTCCTAAAGTGAATTGGATTCATCTCTGTCCATTATACTGCATGTGCTTTGACTACTCCCAGCTACTTTAGAGGCACTCCCAGCACCATTCACTAATACCAGCTACTTTAATGTGCCCATAGGGAAAGCTGTTCTGTATTCCTAACAGCAATTGCTGTTATGTATTTAAGCAGAAAGCTTTATAAAGTAGCTAAACTCTACTTTTACCTCCAACGTTAGTTTTTACTTGGGATTTTTGTATTCTGTTCCTTTACTTGCATGCTTCTCCTTGAATTAAAACTTAGCCAAAGTAATGTTAACTGCCTGTGAAAAATTGATGAAGAATTAGTGTGGATTGAGCTTTTGAATTCTGATGAAAATTCAAAAATTCACCTTTAAATAAAGGTGGAGGGGAAAGGAAGGCTGTCATCTAGGAGTTAATCACTAAGCAATAATTTTCACTGCCTAATAATATCCTGTTTGGTGTGGCGTAATGAAGAAATGATGAGTGTAGACTGGAGAAGGTGATGTTGCTCAGATGCATGGCAGCACAGGAACCAGTGCCAGGCTGTATCTGCAATGAACTAAGAGCTATGGAGTACAAAGAACCAGTGAAATTGTCTTTTGGGTTGTTTATGTGGAAATGTATATTTTAATGAATCCTTTAAAATACAAATCAGTAAGAAATTATACTTGAATACATTAATCTTTACTTGCCTATAAAAATGATGCTACAAAGTTCATCTTTAAAGCAGTTTGATGAAAGGAAGTACCAGACATTGGTTCCTTCTGTTGCTTAAAAATAGAATTTTGATAGTTTCTTTTTGTGGGTTATGGGCTTAAAAAGAAGGGATTGGGGAGGAAAGGGATGCCAGGTTGTGAAAATCAGGGTCTTGACTGTTGTAGTTGTACTGCCAAAATATTTTTATTTTTTTGCTCATGAAACTGTACATGTGGTGTTTTGCCAAAACAGGTAGAATGGCTGAGAGAAGATTTAAGTTTGTAAGCCTAGTATCTGGAGATTCATCTGCACTGCGTGCTGCTGTTCTGAGTTGGTTTGCTGCTTAAAACGGGGGTTTAGTCTCAGAAGAGCTTTACTCAATGAAGAGTACAGGAAAACTGATATGACGTCTATTTTATTTCTTCACTTTTAATCTTTCTTATTTCTTGTTTCTTGTTCTGGAAGGAGTAAAGAAAAACAAGGAAACCCAATTGTTACATTTGAGGCTTTTGCCTAACTGACAGCGGAGATGAAATGCAAATAAGTGGGTGAAGGAGGAATATGATAAGCAATTGCTTTCTTGGAGTTGGTGTTTCTGAGAAATGGACTGTCCGTGGCGTGGCTGCATGCTGATAGGGTAGCGTCAGTGGTAGTTTAGTTTTAATAGGGAAAATTTAAGAAACCTTTTCTGTGGGTAAAATATTTCCAAATATTCAAGGCTTTAACATTGTGATTTATAAAAACAGAGTATCATGAAATAATTTTGGCATTTAAATTTTGCTATTTTTTTAAACCAAACTGGAATTACTACTTCTTATCTGCATGTGTGTCTGTCTGAAAAAGCTTCATTAAAAGGCCCCCTCCCCCTGTCTGTCTCATTACCTGAAGGGAGGAGCCCACTTGCAACAGTGAATAATTCCTAAACACCATCTTGCATGAAAAGTGAGTGTTGCCTCCTTTCTGCAAATACACTGTATACATAAAGAAAAAAAAAATCTAGTTTCCAAATTCTGTTTAAAAAAAACAAACCCACAACTCCCCTAACCCACCACCAAAAAAACCCCCACGTCCCCCCAAAACCCCTTTTGCCCATTTGCCTAAATCTAATGCTTGGGTCTCTGCCAGGTTGTCCCATCAGTCGCTGCCCCCCGTCCGCTTTGTTTTAGTGTTTTATATTCTATATATAAACTGTGGGTATACTTTAAAAAACCATTTCCTTTAAAATATTTCTGGGTTAGAGTAGTCTGTCTTGATGAAGCCTGTACATGAATCAACTTCATTGTAACCTGTGTTACAGTAAGAATTTTAGGAATTTCCTTTATTAGGACCCGTTAGTATACTGCAGCCACTGAGTGCGCTGCACTGATTTCTAGGTAAAACAGCCTGAAATTGCCTGAAATTTATGGCATATGCCAACCTTCTGTACACTACTCCTTTTCAGTACGCAAAACTTAAATATTCTGAAGTCAGTCTCTTACTGGCATATGTTATCCCACATTTAATACTCACGATATTCTTTCTGGAGAAACACCAATTTGACTGAAACTGTTTTTCAGGTTAGTTGACTGCCACTAATGGCATGGTGAGATGTGGTGAGGAGCAGCTGCGAGGGCGTGCAACGGCGAGGGGACCGCTCGAGGAGCTGGGCGTGCAACATCATGGGCCAGTGTGTCACGAAGTGCAAGAATCCTTCTTCTACCCTCGGCAGCAAAAATGGGGGAAGGGAATCCAGCAGCAAATCTCACAGCAAGAGAAGTGCGGTCCACAAAGATGACCTCGTCTCGGCTTGCGGGAAGTCTTCAGGAGATATACTTGTGAACGGGACAAAGAAAACTGATGCTGCTGTAGAGTCTAGTCAGCCTCCCACGTTTTCTGGAGATACAAAGAAGGACTCTGTTTCCAGTGCAGAAGAATCTTCGCTCCAAAGGATCGGGGAGTTATTTTGGAGGTATAAGGATGAACGGGAAGATGCCATCCTGGAAGAAGGAATGGAACGGTTTTGCAATGACCTGTGTGTTGATCCCACTGAATTTAAAGTGCTAGTTTTGGCTTGGAAATTCCAGGCTGCTACCATGTGCAAATTTACAAGGTTAGTTCTTGTAGAACTTGTAATTATTTTCATATGTTAAAGTATATCCTGTCATCTGTATGTTGGAGAGACAGCCTCATTAACTTCGCTTATTTATTTCCTCTAACACTTGCATTTTGATCAAATTAATTCCTACCGCTGCAGGAATTCCTGTAGAAATTATCCTCTTTTCTCCTTCCCCTCACTGTGGGTTTCAGAGCCGAAAACGTGGTTTTGGACGTTATGCTGCTAATGATGAACAGTGTGCTGAGATTCTATAGACACTCATTTATTCTTGATTTGCCAGAAGCAGTCTTACTGTATCCAGCATTATCTTGATAACAGGATTGGACACTGAAATGAATTTTAACTTTAAAAGAATGTATGATTCCTTAGTAACTGCTACCAACTCTGTTATCATTTTGTGAAAGAGTGACAAGCAGACTGCTTCCTAAGAATTGTTCCCGCCCAACTGGTGTTAATGTCTTTTTCCAAGGTTAATCCTGTTAAAGCATAGAGTGGGAAGGAAACACAAGCTTTTTGACACTGGTAGCTGTTTCTTACAGTGGTTGGTGTTTAAGGTGCTGTCTGGACAAGGGTGTCAGTCAGCAGGCTTATGGCATGTGTGATGTAATGACAGAACAACTAAAACTTAACAGGAAAAAACCAAACAACAACAACAAAACCAACCAAACAACCAACAACAACAACAACAAAATCAAACCAAAACCAAATGAAACTCAAAACTACAACAGCCCTCCTGACTTGATTATCAATGTCCAGGTAAGAGCAAGTAAAGGCTTACTCAGGGACTTGCTGAGAGAGAATGAATTTTTATTTTTCAGTCTATCTAGATTGGTTTGAGTAATGCTACCTAGTTTAACTCAGCTAATAACTTTCAAAATTGCTTTGGTGTTCTGAGCTTTGAAACCAAGCCTCTGCTGTGTGCTGAACAGAGAGCTTTTCCAGCATTTTGAGTCTCTGTGGATGTGGGTGTGTGTCAAGCGGATGAGTTACTCTGGAATGCAAATGTGGATTTACTGAAGGCTGATGGCACAGGTATTTGCTAATGTGGTAAAGGAATTGCAAGTAGTGTCTGTGATTCTGCACAGCTGCCTTGTTAATTATTAATGTAATTTTGATCTTTTTGGAGAGAGGGCAAATCTAGTGGTGAGATGTTACCTCTGTTTAACGGCACGCTCCGGGATACAGGTGCTGATCGACTTCTTCCATCAAGGAAAGTGATGCGGTCTGTTCTGAGCGCTGCCCTGTCTCCTGTCCTCCCTCCAACCTGTCCCACATCAGTCTGCTGGGTTTAGTTAATATTGGTTGTAATACTTGCTTATGAGCACTAAAGAAATCAGAGCTAACCATCTACCCGCTTGGCCAGATTATTAATGGGCTAATTAGTATAGGACCGGTGCTTCAAGCAGTGTTTACACGTTGTGTTGTATGTAGCTTGTTGTTTGATGCCATGGTCTCTTCCGCACTCTCAGCAGGTGTCTCCACTGACTGTTGCCATTGGCACCCTTTTTTATTTTGCAGGCTGGAGGGGCAACCAAAAACCACAGGAAAGCCAGCAGGGAACTGTGCTGTCCCTTTAGAACAGCTTGCCCAGAGCACAGACATTTTAGGCATGAGCAATACTGTATCAAGCTGGTTTATATATGGTGCTTCAGTGCGTAAATGTGGTGGTTTTGAACATTTGGTATTTATTCTATGGTGAATTTTAATAACTTTTTATTGTGAAAGGCACTGGATGTGGTGGTATTGAGTAGTCAGGAAGCCAGACAGCAAAATCTCTTTTAAATGTTAACAGTGCCCCAACAGATCTGAGTGGTGTCTGTGCTTCCCCAGGCCGTGAGAAACTCGCTGGAAATGTCTCTCCTTCCGCTAGCCCCCACTGCTGAGACTTTTGTGGTGCCTGAGCTGAGAGTTCACCTTGTCTGGTCCAGATAACCCTCAGATTTGGCCTAGAACGGAGATGAGAAGTGTTCAGCATGTGAGCTTGGTGGGAAGCGCTCGCACTAATTTCTCTTCTCTTGCTTAACAGGAAGGAGTTTTTTGAAGGCTGCAAAGCAATAAATGCAGACAGCATCGATGGCATTTGTGCGAAGTTCCCCAGCCTCCTAAACGAAGCCAAGCAGGAAGATAAATTCAAGGATCTCTATCGTTTCACCTTCCAGTTCGGCTTGGACTCTGAAGAAGGACAGAGGTCACTACATCGAGAAATAGCCATTGCCCTTTGGAAATTAGTCTTCACCCAAAACAAGCCTCCCATTTTGGACCAGTGGTTACACTTCCTAATTGAGAACCCCTCAGGAATCAAGGGAATCTCCCGGGACACGTGGAACATGTTTCTAAATTTTACTCAGGTGATTGGACCAGACCTTAGCAACTACAGCGAGGATGAGGCCTGGCCGAGTCTCTTCGATACCTTTGTGGAGTGGGAAATGGAGCAGAGGAAAAAGGAAGAGGAAACCAAATGTATTACATCTTCGGACACAGAGGGCCTGTGTGTGGAAGAACAGACTTAGCGGCGTCGAAGCGGCAGTGATTAAAGCAACCCGTCGCCCTTTGTGAAATGTAAACTCTGGATGTTTCTGGAAATTACCGAGGCTCCAGACTTTTCTACTTTACACCTTTTTCTGCCTTGTCTTTGAAAGGGCTCTAAAATGCTGTATCATGTTTTAGGCACTTTCTTAATTATGGTTATTCCTTTTACTCTTGCCGTGAAATATTTGACCCTGGCTACAAGTTAAGCATTTTTGGGTTCTTTTTTTTTTTTTTAAAGACTTCAGATTAGTATAAGTCTGATATTTCTTGCACAATGTAGATCTTTTCAGTTAGGTTAAATTAACATTGCTAAATTATACAGTGCCAGATTAAGTTTTTCATACTACATCTGTCAGGGCAGGTCTGTACTGTGTGTAGTGCTGTTTACATTGTTGAAATTTTAGGCTGTAATAATTTTAAGGTTTTATACCAAGATGAACAGCAGTGTTAACTGTTAACTATAAATGCATTAATCCCTTGGTAATAAGGCTCTAAAAAAACAACATAAGCAACAGCTTTTTGTAATATGGCTAATTCCCATTTTAAGCTAACTCTTAGTGAACGAGTCCAGGTCACTCCTTTTTTTGGAATTTCAAACTAAATGTTGGGATTGTTTTATAAAATTACTGTACCTGTCAGTCAACTGAGTGGTAGATGATGATTTGTATCTAAATCTCTTACACATCACGTAATAAAAGAGCAGTACTACCTCAGTTTTATTGAAAGTGGACTTCTTGATGGACTTCCATTTTCTCTGGAAGTTGTATTTTTGTGGTTACATGAGAATATTTTTACTTGACTAGAAGAACCAAAAGTTCTGCTTCTTAAGTTTGCTAAACATTGACAGAAGCAACACACAAACCCTAAGTCTTCAAGGAAAACTGTGGTATAATTCTGCTTTAATTTGTTTGATTTATACCTAAAGTATTCTCTTACTTGTCTGGCAAGCACAGTACTTCTGTGTAAGGAACTATCTTTTGCATTAATATTGGCAACCAATTTTTTAAAACCTATTTTTAATTGCTAAATCACAGTTAATACTCCACATTTTCTGGAGCAGCGATATCGGCATCTGATGACAAAGTGAATTCTTAATGTGTTCTTAATGACAACAGTGTAGACGAGTCATTTTTAAACTGATTTGATAATATTTGGATAGGAGTCAATTTATTTACAATGCGTGTATTGGGACTATTTGCCTGTTGAAACTGTTGTGACTTAAAGGGAGTTTTATTAACACTGGTTGAAACTTTTTTTGGTGATTGATGCTACTTTTTTTAATTTTAGTACGTCAACTTTTTTACACCTTTTGGTAAAACGGATGATTGCCAACGCTTTCTGCAGAGCCAAGTACTGGCTTGATGAATTTGATACACTTCCATTACACACCTTTTCTTTTAAGAGCTGCATTTCAGGATCATGAAACGGTTTCAATTAAAAAAGCAAACCAAAAGAAAAACTGGACAGTCATCTATAGCATCTAATGGCTTTTGTGATACAGGGGTTTGAAAGCTAAAGGAAAACGGATTTTAAGTGGTGAGCTTGTTGCTGGATCCAGGCTGACGGCTTTGCACATCTGCTGTGCCCCGGGGGGGTTAGCAAGAGAGGAGCAGGATCTGTCCGAATTCTGTCACTGGCTTTGCTGCTGTGAAGCTTATGCAATAGCTTGGGTCTGAGATCATAAATCACCAATTAAATGTGGGTATTGAAAACTGTTTAAAAAACAAACCCACAAGCCACAGATAGCATCTCTTTCATCTAATAAAAGGAGAGTTTGGTCCGTGGTGCTTCTGCAGGCTCTTGCTGGGAGATGTGGTAAGCTGCAGAAAACAAATGTTGTTGTAGCTGCAGCTGAGTCCATCCCTTTGCAGGAGGGGAGCCCTGAACTTGCTGTGTTATAGGTAAATATACCCAGAGCTTTGTCACTGTTACTACAGCCTTCCAAGCTACCATGGCATAAACACTAGCAGCAAGACCTTATTCTGATGTGGTGAGCAAAGCAGGCAAAAGCACTTACGCTGGTATAACCTAATTTATGGCAAGACTTTTGCCAGTGCTGTTATTTTTAAAAAAATAAAATTCCCCAACAGAGGCTGTTAGCCAAAGTTCCCAGTGGAGACTGAATTGATAGTAAATGAAGACTGTTTATAAGTTTGAGACTACTCATTCATTCAGCTATTAAATGCTTTGTTCATCACTTCAGGTTTTTTTTCCTAAAGAGAATTTAAAATGTCCAGAGTGTGAAAACAAACTATTCAAGTGGATAGCCAGTGCAGCAGCTCCAAAGGGTGAGGGATAGGGCTCTTTAAGGAGCACGTTTATCTTGTGGTCTGGCTGTGGATTGCAGTAAGGAAATCAATTTGTAGCACATCAAGGCCTAGCCCATTTGAATGCATCAAAAGTAACACAGCTTCTTTTTAAAGACAGAGGTGGTGAATATATAGGAAGGGAAAAATCTTATTTCCTTTTGAGGAAAGGACATACAATTCTCAGTGGCTGGAGTCCCATGCTTTCAGTACAAGAGGGCAGTCTTGCTCGTGTTGTGCTGCTTTTGGCCTCACAGGAGCACCTCCACCTGTTGGGTAGAATACTTGCAAAAATAGCCAAATTATCTATCTGGCAAAGTACCATTTATTTTTAGCCTAACTTCAGTTTTTTTAATTGCCATTTACAGAATGCAAGCCAGACCTGTATCAGTTTTAAACTCCTGAACCAGTGCTGGAAGTGAGAGAGGGCATCTGACCTTCCCTGGGATTGCCTGGTGGTTGTGTCCTAACCGAGGCAATGCTGGTGTGCCTGTGTGGGAGTAGGGTTTGTGTGTTTCCGAGAGGTCTTCAACAGTATTGGAGCCTCTGCAAATACACTTGTTTAATGGTTCAACTGTGAATATCTGTGGAACAGGCCAACTACATTCATTTTTTTAATATAATTTAAATTGTTGTTCATGCTGATAGAATCCTTGAAACCATTGCAACTATTTAATTTTTTTTAAATTAGAGTGTGCATTAGAAAACGATGCATGTCGTGAATCTGCTGCAACTTGGGATAAATAACTGTAGGTAACTATATAGGTAACTATATAGGTAGTTTTAGTAAAATACTAGAAAACTGGTCTGACATCCACACTCTGTGGCATTTTATTGCCTTCCCTTATATGCAAAGAAATACAACTCCTGTGAAGTTTACTCCCGAGTAATAAAACTCTGACCACCTGCACTGTATTATAGTTTGCAACACCTTTAAAATTTGTCTTCCAGGTCAGCTGGAGGCTCAGCTGTGCTCATTTTTACCTGTGTGGGTGTGATTTTCAGGTAAAAAACTATTTATTGATTCAAGTAAGGATTTGAAAGATTCTGCCTATAGTTGGCTGTAAAAGTTGACTGAGAAAATTAATTGAAATTAAATGCTGAATTTTGACTTTACTTGCTGCTGGTGCTATGCTATATGTAGAATTATAGCTTTTTAATACTGTGCAATTGTAATGAAAGAACCACAGGAATAATAAATGAAGGTGTGGTAGGTGGCACAAAGAGAGCTGAGCCCTGTGGCAGCTCGGGCTGCCCCAGGCTTGGGGACAGATCTGCTCCTGGCTCAGCCTCTGCACTGCTGCAGCACTACGGAGCATGAAGCGACTTGTCCCTGCTCTGCTGGCAAGTGAGTGGCAGACAGATGCAGCGCCTCTTGTCACAGGCAGGGTGGCTGTTGGGGACTTCAAGGTGCTGGGGGCAGCAGCAGCTTTGCCTGTGTGACTTTCATTTTGCTCTGTGCATGTCCGTCAGAGCCTGAAGAACCCATGGATCCCAGGGCAGGTATGAGCCTGTCACCCGTGGTTCCCAGACACGGCTATGTGCTGACTCATGACCTTAGTATTTTCATGAGACTGTCACCATAAGTATCTTTCTTACAGTTCTGTGACTTGTTTCAAAAAAAACCAACCAAACCAGCAGTTAAAGAAACACCACATAGTTGATAGGCACTTCAGTCATGATGCAATTTGTTGGCTGATGTTACATCACTCCCATTCATTGGAAAATAATAGTCATTGTAAGTTTCTGGGTCTTGCAGCCTTGTGTTCTGCAGTGTGATCCTTTTTTAGAAGATCCTTGGTAAACTGGGCACCCAGTTACTCTGCTCAAAGTGTGCATGTGCATTTAGTCTTTCACATTAAAAAGTAAGATGTTTAACCTGAACCTCAAAATTCTTCAGGGGAGTGCTTCAATATACAGCAAAACATAAATATTTTTTCTATTCTATTCTAGTATTGAAAGCTAAGCGTCTGTTTAAATTTTGTTGTGTGCAAACAAAACCACCAGTGTTAAAATTTTCTCTCTGGAAGAAGATTGACTCTTGTTTTATATTGTCAACTGAAGTAAAATACATGACATTGTAAGACAGAAGGCTGTAATTCCTTCACCATGAAGTACATAGGTATCTCTACCTCTTGTTCTTAGACTTGAATAGTTTAAGGTAACCATACTTTGCTCCCAGGTTTTTATGCCTGCATGAGTAATCTCTTTTTTTTTTAATTGACCCAAGTTAAGTATTATCTATTTGCCATACTTTTTGGTATCCTGTTTTTGATCTGCATGTAATTGACTCTCTGAAAGGGAGCCAAGTCAAGCTGCAAACAAGGTGTCGGTCGTCCCGGGTGCTAGTTTTGGAGTGCAATAGAGAGACCGACTGGAGCTACATGGTGTTTGGCTCGGGGCCTTTTATTATCACACATCCCTGCTTGGGCTGCCTGTGCTGACAATAAATTGACGGTGGAGCAGCTGCTCCCCAAGAGGGAGCCAATCAGCCTTTTCATTTGCCCTTGAAAAACTTTAGGAACCCACCTGATGCAGTGCCATGAGTATATTTTTCTTTTGGTGAAAAATACCGTTTTGTTCCACTTTGGGCTGGGCCTGTAACACCCAGCATGGATGAGAGCTGCGAAAGTGTAAGGGCTATGTGCATCCGTTTCCTCCCTGAGGTCAGAATCTTGCTCAGGATAAAACCCTTATGCTTGAGGGAGGCTGGAGAGATCTCCAGTGAACTGGAGATGCCAGTGGTGTCAGTGCTTGGCTGTGTTCATTAATGCATTTAGGTGGTGTCTCTTTTTCATGCCCTCGCTTTCTTCCTCCAGTGGAAACTACCCCACAATTACTGTAATTGCAAATCCCAAATAGATGCTCTGCTGTAGCACCTGTTGCTACAAGATTCTTCTTCCAGTTTGAGAGCTGCTTTTGGGGTGTGACCTCTTGCACTATTATGTATGGGCACATATTTCAAGAGAATGGGGGTGTGTGTGAGGTGATGGTTAAAAGGAGCATGAACGTTCTAGTCCTGCTAATGGCTTGCCTTAAATCACTGAAATTACAGCAGCTTCCCGCTACTATTGCAATCCCCAGTCTTTCTGTAGTTAGGTTTTAAAATCCAACAGGTTCTGGAGGTTATACAATTTTATTTTTAAAAAGCTTCTATCTTTGTGTAATTGCACTCTTCGGATAAGCCCTTTCTGGATAACACGTCACTTCAGACAGACAGAAGAAAACATCCGTCTCCAATGTTCTTGCTGTAAAGTTTGGTTTTTCCCCCCCTGTAAATTATATTTGGACTAAAGGTTGCCTATTGTTAAATCAGTGTGTTTACTTGAATGTTGCCATTTTATGCAGTTACAACTGCTGACTCTTGCTCTTCTCTGGGCCCATGAGAGGGGAGATTGTGTGACCAGAGGTGGCAAACCTGCACAGAGGATCAGTAGAGCTGAAGGCTGGCTGCTGTTTTTATACTCTCATATGTATTACATATTAGAGGACTTCACAGAATACTGCTTAATATTTTGAAGCTGTGACATTTTAAGTCACGCTAAACATAGTTATCTTAAAAATATGTTTGCTTTTTTTTAAACTGTAAGTTTAAAACAGTCTTTAAAAAGGAGGTGGGCTGGCGGGAGCGGCTGGAGGGCCTCATGCTGGTTGTTGTTGAGTAACTCCAGTTCCTGGAGATGTGGATGCAACTGGCAGGATGAGGTCCTGACCCAGTGCTGTTGGGGTTTGTACTGGCTGGTCCTGAGGGCATGAAGCAACCGCAAGTCCTCACCAGGCTGCATGGAGAAGGGCCAGCCTGGCTGGTGCAGCTGGATTTCTTGGAGTACTTGCTTGTGGATCTCGGCCCCAATTTAGCCTAAGTCACCCTTTATGGAAGGAATGCATTTTGACAGTGTTTGCTCCCGGAGAAGTAACCAACTCTAACTAAGGAAATAATGAGAGCACACCTTTGTGCGGCTTTCATTGAATCGTGGGTGAATACAGCTGCCTGATCAATATCTCAGTTCCTCACTAAACCAGCAAGGGTGGATAGGATCAAGTCTGCTTTCCTTTGTGTCGGGAGTGCGTTTTGCCTTTTTGGACTGACCCGAGAGATAACCATGTGTGATCCAGTTTGCTCACTCTGGGAAATGATGAATGTATTGTGTGTCGTGGAACAGACCCGTGCTTCCTCTTTGAGACAGCAGGATCAGAAGTGCTGTGTAAATGTAATGCTTGAAAATGGCTGGAGTAAATTCTGTTTCACGTAGAATCTGTTCTTAAAGGGATGTGGCCAAATTTGAAACCAGAAAAGTAGGAGAAGCTCAAGATGCTGCACCTACTGAGTCCCATTTCGTTTGTAGTTTTACAATTACTTTTCTTATATCAACTTTTGCTGACTGTTGTTGTCTGGAACAGAATGGAAACAGCATTTTATAGAATGTGCAATCTAAGGCACAGTGCAAATAGGCTGTAACAAGAAGGTTGTCTTTACTTGATAGCAATCCTGAGTGCAATGTTTTTTGTTGTGTCCCTTTTGGAAGAAGAGCATTAAGTGCAGTCTGAGGTTTTCCTTATAAGCAAAGCATTGGTTTGTCCATTACTGACTTCTTGTGGAATTTGTGCCAGATGTATATTAAATATTTTGGTGCTTTTTCTAATCCAAGCTGCCATTCATTTACCTGTGAGATTATTGTACTTCTGTATATTTAAATGACCAATCCCTTAAAGAAGAAAAGATCCTTTTAGTCACAATGTATCCTGACTACTGTAGCTTTGTAATGTTCCATAGCTGCAAGGTTTCCTGTTTTCCAGTAGGGTCTGAGGGGAGGGAGGGAGCAGCTACAGAAATCCAATCCACTGGAAAGGGAACTTGCATGCTGTTCTGTGCATTACTGAACAAATGAGTGACATTTGTGGTGTTTACATAATGACACGTTGGTGTTCACTTTTTTTGTGCTCGAGCTTTGTACAAAATGTCATATTTAAAGCTGAAGTCCTTTATACATTTTCAATTAAAAGGGGACAAATTAATTATTTTTAATGCCTACAAATAGGAGTCTTGCTAGTTTTGTTTGTCATCTCCAGAGTTTCTCAAGCAAGAACCATTGATGCACACTACATCCTGCCTAGTCCTTGCAGGGAGGTGACCACACCATTTTTAAGTGCATGGAATGAAAAGTAGTTGTTTGGGTTTTTTTCAACTTTGTCGTGCACGTGTCTACGACAAGGACAAGCAGGATGTGAGCAGTCTTAAAAGGAGCATTGTCTAACAAGGACCGTGCTGAGGTCAGTCTGCCGCTCACCCCCTCCCACTGAGCTGCCTGACCCTGCAGCCTCTGCTGGGCTGGGGGCAGCAGTGGGCATTGGCAGTGCTGGGCGAAGGCACTGACTTCAATGCTCATCCCAGTTTGCAATAGCTACAGCCAAAGCACGCCAGGCTCACTTGGAGTCGATAAAAGTATTTTAAAAGAAAATAAAAAGGTGTATTAATCTTGATTACTTTAAATTTAGTTATGAAAGACACTGATGTGAGCCTCTACTCCCACTCGCTGGTGCCGCATCTGTCTTTTATCCCTCTGCCTTTATTTTTGCCTGCTCTCCATGCAGCAACTCCCAATCTCTACTCCATAAGCTGCTCTTTGCTTAAGAGCCCAGCACAGTGAACTTGAGGTTGGAAAGTAGGAGGGTGTAAATATTCTATCAGCACTACTTAATATTTTCTGGAATAACAACTATTTTAACTTTATCTCAGCCTACTCTAATTCGTATCAGGAAATTCCTTGCCTCATGTTCAAACCTTGTAACAAACATTTTTCTTCTGCATGCTGAAATTTTTCCTAGGCATCCATAAGCTTGGAAATCCTGTATGTTAACAGGAGATGCTCAAGCAACCCTTATTTTAGGTATCAATGGCTGCAAAGCACAGGTCTGAAGCTGCTGAGCTGTAAATCACCTCTTCCTACTGCTGGTAGTGCACTGAGTCTTACTGCAACTCTGCGATTCCAGCTCCCTGCAGCAAGCAGTGATGTGTGAAGTTTGCACTGAAAAGTGCTTTCCTTAAATGGCCCTTGGCCCTCCCACAGCCACACTGTAACTTCACTTTTTTCTTTTTTTTTGTGTGTGAGGGGTGTGGGGGGTGGTCAGGGAGGGAGGAGAAAGTGGAGACTGTATGAATCACCAATTCCTGCTTTCCATGGACTAAGCACAGGACTTTCCCGGAAAGGAGGCACTGACTCTTCGTCAGAGCTGGCACAGCACATTTCCAGAAATCCACACAATTCCAGAGGATTGCTGTTAACCGCCGAGCAGCTGCTGCAGGTACTGCATTAACTTGCCCTGCTGGTTTAGGGCCTGTTGTGGTGCAGTGAGATGACACAGCTGGTACATCAGTCTCTGGCAATGAACGCCCTCTGAGTTACACCTTCCAGGGCAATAGTGACCGGCTTTTATGCAACGCTCCCATGGTTTGCCCCCAGCTCCTCCTAAGCACTTGCCCAGCTCACCCACTGCCAAGGAGAACTGCCACAGCAAGAAGGGTTAATGGAAAAGGTTTTTGTGCTTTAAGATGGATTGAATAGCTTTTATTTTTAGTCTTTGTAAAAGATATGGAGTGAAAGCCCATTGTTCTTATGGTAAGAGATCTTTACAAAGACATCAATATTTAAAGTAATTAAAAATATCTTAACAAAAGACTTGGCTTAAAAACTCGGTGGTTTAACAAGGACTCCTCCCTCTGTCATCCTTTATTCCCATCAGACCAAGGCCAGATTGTGATCCATGCATGCTGCAACACAAACAAGAGATGCATTATTTCTGTTCAGGGCAGCCTTGATGCACACGAGTTTGCTGCTCTGTAAGTGGGAAGCCTGCAACCCCCAGAGTAAGCAGACTGGAAAAAACTCTATCTTTTTATTCCTCCCACCCAACAATAAATTTGCATGCTTTTTTCATCAAGAAGCCTTCTCTGGACTGTCAGTCCTCTGGGAAACAGAAACCTCACTTGGCAAGAAACCTCTTCCAAGCCTAGGACAGAGCTTCCTTCCTACTTACTCAGTACCCAAGACAACAGAGCCCAGGCTCTGTGAGCTCCTATAGGCTCCTTGTGGATGCAAACTCCTGAATGCACCTGTCCTGTTAGTGGGATTCATAACCCTTAGTGATGTAAGGGAGCAGACGAGCTTGTGCTATGCAAGCCTAGGTTGAGATGGCCCTTGAAAAGTAAATTTGGACCCACTGAAGCCAGTGAATCAGCTGCAGAAGATACATGGTGTGGACTCTAACTTCACAGCCATCTTTTCCTCACACTTTTCCAGTGGGGCTGACAGGCTGGTATGCACAGTAACTGAGGTGACAGAGTGGTGTAGAGAAGAGTCAAAAGATTGCTCAGAAATGTAAAACTGACTCGGTTGTAGCCCAGAAGGCGGCAGCAGCTGATCAAAGGACCACAGGCACTACTAAACAGCCTACAGCAGTTAGCCCTCAGTGCCGGCCTCCCTCATGGCTGATTTAAACTGAGAAAATATTCAATACTGAACTTGTGCAAGAAACCACTTACACACGGCTACCTGCAATCAACATTTCTCTAATAAGGTAGGAATTGCAGTCTCATTTTTATATGCTGTTATTCTTTGGTGGGGCATGTGTGTGAAAAAAAACCAAAACACCAGCTTAATGATCTTTACTTAAGACAAACTATTAATAAAAAAAAATCTAGGAGTTGGGTTTTTTTTTTGAAGTTATTAGAAACTGAACAATTAGAGCAGATCACACCAAGAGCAGCCCTTTAGCGTGCAACCTTGCTGAAATGGTTTGTCACTGGCGTGAAGCCTAAATATACTTTTGGCTTCGGATGCATCTCCTTTCTAGGGACACTGGTGCATAGGATAACACATCATCATGGTTCTTCTCGGAAGCTTTGCAAGTAAGAAATGGAAACCTGGCCTGGCTGCCTGGCCAGGCAGGAGATGCTGCTGAATAGCTCTGACTCTCTGTTTCTATTCCAGGGCATGCCTTCTGCCTCCACAAGGAGTGGCACCCCTTCCATTGAAGGGAAACTGAAGAAAAGCAAGGGTAGATGTGACCTTTATTTGACTGTCTGAACAGTGACATAGTGAGAGAGCAGAAAGATGACTGCTGAAATAAGTATGTACTTGGTAACCAGGGCCTTGTCTGGGAAAGATTTAACCTTTCTGGTTAATAATTAAGCGGTGAATGACTGTGGCTGTTCAGGCCACAGGCTCTGAAATGCAGGAAGCCAACCCCATCTGGAACCATCCCTGGTATCAGTGCTGAAGCTCAACTCCACTTTAGGACCTGCCCTTTCCTCTGAAAGCTTAAGGACTCAGTGTTCTTTTTTTCCAGTCATGTCCCTCGCAAAAGAATGAGGGCATGAACAACCTCCTTGATCAGCTATGGCTACCACAAGACAACTGGTAGATGGTGCCTTGGCTGCAGCAGTTTGATGGCTTCAAAAAAAGCAAACCAACAAAACCCCATCAAAACCACCAAAACACTGGCTGCTGTGGAAACTCTGCTCACTTCTCCCATGGGCACATAAAAAACTTACCTTGCTGTCAATAGAGATGAAAGATGGAACAGGAGTAGTTAAGTGAATAGAGAAGACCTTTATAACTAATCAACATTGTGTACTTAAGCCTTGCTAGTCTGGACCATCAGCTATGTAAGTGGTTTCAGCATTTGTGCTTGTTCTTATCAGGCAGGGCTTACGGGCAGAACTTTCTGTTCAGGTTTTATTGGCCTAACATGAAAGTCTGAGTAAGTACAACAGCTTCTTCAGACCTTCTCTCAGGCTTTTGCTTCCTTGTGCAGGGTTTTAATTTTTAATAGCTTAAGGTAAAAATATTTGGCTATGTATTTTCCTTGGCTCTTTGCAAAATAGGTGGCAAATTACCTGTTCGCTCCAGGAAAGAGAACAATGCACAGGGTGTTACTCTGAAGACTCCTGTAAAGCTTTTTGATGTGCTGGTCTAACGTCTTCACCTCTTTCCTTAGATCCTGCTCCTGTGTAACAGAATATAAGTAAGTACTAAAATACCCAAATCTGTAGCAATCACACTTAAAAGTGTATGTGGCAAGACTGACCCTTGGGCAGTGTCAGGCTGAGGACAGCAGCGATTGTTACTGGCTGGCATTTGGCAGTGCAGTGGCTCAGCAGCAGGAAGAACTACATGCCCTACTCAGATGGCACTGCACCTTCCTCCAGTAAAAATGAGAGCTGCAACTGGAGCTGTTCTTTCCTGTAGGGCTACGCAACTGATCATGTCTCCCGCTGACTCACATTTGCCACACCTGTACATTGCTCTGTCTCAAGCGGCAGGCTTCAGTTCCTGTGTAGCATCACTCACTGCCCTGTGCTGGGTTTTTTAAGGTTATACAGTTCCCTGCAAACATCTCATTACTCACATGATCTCACCTCTCCAAACTACCTGTGGGAACTGATCCTTGGCAGCCCCTCTGTGCCAGCACAGGAGACCCTTCTGTTACATGCAGCTCTGCACCTAAGTCTGCCCAACATTATCACTCCTGGTACCCAGGGCAATACCTCCTCACAGACTGCAATAGCCTTAAACTCACAGAGTAAGAGAGTTGGTCCATTTTCTCATTTAAGATGCTTCCTCTTTGCTTCTCATTGCTGCGATTCGTATGCCAAATCCATCTCCAGAGGTGTATTCCTGCTTCTTAATTTGCTGCCCTTCATGGTCCATCCATTTATAACTTCAAGTGCATCCACAGCACTTTGTGATTTCCGGAATTCTGAAACACAAAGAGAAGGGGAACATGCTTTGGCAGTGATGTTGCTGCCCTGTTCCTGGGACCTGTAAGGCAGGTCTAAAGGAGTGGAGCAGGAGGGAGACAAGAAACTGGAATCATGACGGTAAGCAGGTCCTCATCTTGCTACAAGTAAACATCAGACTACAGAAATGCAGGTTAACTACAACAGCACACATCCAGTTGTTTTCTTTTCAGGGGTGATTACATGTGTGTGTGAAGCTGCACAGTAGCCAGCCCTCAACGTTGAGGTACTGGAGTCAATGAGCTATCCTGGAACTTTTCTAAGTAAAGATCTTTTTTTTTTCTTAAGCAGGTTTGTTGGGTGTTTTTTTTTGCCCCTTATAAATATTCAGCTGTAAACTGCTCCTCCAAACAATACATGCTTTCACTGGAATATTTTAAACACCATCATTCTGAGCTTACATGTGTGTCAGTAGCTCTTGCGGTGTCTGTGCGAAGTCCCAGGGGCTGCTGAGTGAGCTTATTTGAAGGAAATAAGCAGGCTGTATGTGAAGCTACTTACTGAGGAAACAGCAGTTCCTGTGCTTTCCACTCTGGAGATCCTTTGGCAGGAACAGTGTTTCCAGGTCTTTCAACTGGCTGAATTCTTTTTGCAAGTCTGTCTCTGTTAATGACTTCTTTAGACCCGCCACGTAAATCACACCTTCATTTTCTACATCCAGTTCCAGTTCCCTTATCAAAACATCACAGTCCAGCATTGCTGTAGTGACAGGTCTCTGAACCTGGAGTGGATTCAGGAGGAATAAACACAACGCGTCAGCCCAAGCAGCACTGTGTTCCGAGCTTCTCTTTTAAATTATTTCTCGCATTACCGAAAGTTGACAGGCTATTTTCCCTCCCTTGAAAAAAAATACAATGAATGACAGGTAACTTAGTCATGAAAAAAGAAGAGAGATCATGTTTGTAATGCAGAAACACTGTAAAATTAAGAACTTCATACTTTGCATACAGCATTTTAACATCCTGTTACTTGGCTCTTCCTTTTAAAGCTGCAGCTGGTGGTCAGAATGCTTTCTAACCCCCTTCTGCTGACAGGAAGAAAATAAAAAAAAAGGGCTACAACCATTTCCTTTCTGCCAGTGGCCCCAAATTATCCAGGGACAGGGAAATGTTAACAGCACAACCAGACAGCATTTGCCCAGATGCTATGCTGTGAGTAGATGTTAAAAGAAACACTGTTCCTGTGATCAACCTAACTTAGGCTTTTGCTACTTGCACTGTTTACCTTAATGCAGGATCCTGCTACCTCAGCTCCATTCAGGATTTCCACAGCAAGCTGGGCAGCTTCCAGCACTTCGTATTGGATACAGACATAGGGCTTGAAACAGAATGGTAAGATACTTCAGGCTTAACAAGATGACACATTAACCCTCTCTTTTAAATAAAGTCAGGTGACAATAAAGTTGTGTTTTCTTTTAAAAATATAATATAAAAAGCTTGGAGGTTAATATATGTAACACTCCGTATAATGCAGCTGTTAAAAAACAACCTTTAGTTAGCTCATAAATTAATAATAACTTTTTCTTCTTGGCCATTAAAGGCTTTAGCATATCAGTTCTCTAGAGAGGGACAAAAAGCATCTCAGCTTTTCCAGTGCTCTAAGTCCTGTAGCTTGAACAGCATAGTTAAGCCACATGAACTGTGTTTATTCCTGTCATTGTGTGGAGCAGCTTTTAGTTACTGTAAATTGTTGTAGCTGATGACTAAATCACCAGAAAAAAAAACACAAACAGAATAACTGGTATTTCAGTGGTTCTAATCCATACTTTTCCAAGAGATTACTCAGGCCTTGCATGCCTGTCAGCAAGCTTAATACTTCAAGTTCTCCTCACCTGGAATGTTTCAGTTAGCACTGTAAGAGATCGGATTGGTCCACACCTTCTAAATTCTTTGTTCACAGACCTCAGGCAAAAGCTTTCTTCAAAAGGACCTGCATAAATTGTCAGCATGTCAGTCAGCTTGCTTCTCACCTGTAGGAACACAGATTAGAGAAGGAACTTCACAAAGCAAAGGAACTAACTACTTGGTGCATCCAGATAAATAACATCCCTTTCCAAGCTCAGCAATGAAGCCTATTCTCAAAAAAATAGTACCTTTTCACAAAGTCCAGCAAGAAAGTGAGGTGCAATGTACTCTGAACCCAAACTGAACTGAATGATACTGAATGTGGACAGGGGAGCATCTTCTAAGGCTCTCTGAAGAATCTGGAGGGAAAAGCGTGTAAATGCTCAAAGAGGTACAAGACAATTGTACTCCAAAGGATCAGAAACAAAGCTATTGAACTTAATTCCCAACTTTAATTTCATTATTGTCCAAGGAAGCCCTCAGGTAGAAATTCTTTGTTAGTGACTCATAAGAGGATGCAGAGGATCAAAGCTTATTTCTGAAATGTTAAAATGGATTTAGCTAACCTGGTATTAACACTATTGCCAACAGTCAGCTTTTTAAAACAGGACTCATCTACACCCCCAGAACAAGAACTCTGAACTACTTTGATGCTTGCTTAGACTAACCCACTCATAAGTCCATTCACCTGTTTATTTGAAGTACTCAGGTTACTCTGACACAGGCCAGAAGAGTCTAGTTCCTGTCTGCGCAAAAGGAGGGGTTTCTGGCCACTCGCCTGCAAGCAGTCTAAAAAACTAGCAGAAAGAAAAAAAGCTGTGAATCACAGCACTTATCCATATGGTGAATTAAAAGCTTTCAAGTGCTTGTCAGAGAAAAGCGGTCACAGTTAATTAAAGAAGTTTGAAAGAATATTCTTGTAGTCAACATGAAAAGAAGCCCAGAAAATGCTGTGTGAAATTTAAGATGCAACTTTTGAAAGTTTTTCAGTACAATGCTACAATTGTACAAAAAGATCCTGATGACTTCTGGAAAACATAACACACTATTCTGATTTTACTGAGGATTCAATTGAAGGAAAAACATGCATATTTGAGAATATTGTTACCATGGTTTGTATAAATGTGGAGACTCATTCAACTGTTTCTGGACCCTACATCCTTGTGGCTGTAACACAGCTTTGTTCTGGGAGACCTCAGCCAGTTTTTCAGTTGCCAGAAGCTCCTCCAAGTTTAGTTCTGCTACCTTGGGGAAGGAAGACAATTAGTAGTTGGCTTTCATCTCAGCTAATTGTAGTTAACCAAAAAGCATGTGGTCTCTCTGTCAGTCATCTAGGCAGACTTCACAGTAGTGAAGAAACACAGGCATTAATTTCTTGCCTTATTTTCTGTTGTCATTTTCAAGCATGCAGCACTCACACCATCAACCAGCAATCAGGTCCAAAAACGTTCTCTCAGAAATCAACGACACAAGCAAGAGACTCACAAAACCAGATGAATCACTGCCACAACACACAGGGTCTCTCACTTCTTTCATTTGGAAAAATGACAGGAAGTCCTGTAGCGTTTTTTACCTTCATAAGAACAAGCTGTATGTTCTGCAATTAAGGACAGAAATCTTAATTAGATATAGCTACCTTTGCTGGTCCTCGCTCAATAAAGAATTGAGCTAATTCTAGTGCAGCTCTAGCATCTTCTACAGGATCATGCCCAAGCTTTTCTTCACATTGAATCTCCTTCCTAGGGCATCAAAATCAGATATACAAGCAGGTTACCTGTTTTTCACACTGACAGAAGATCCTGTCTTATCTAAACTCGGTCCTTTTTGGGCAAAATAGCTTTCCCCACTCCAAAAAGGACTTCAGTTCTCTGCTGCAGCATTCTTGTGAAATATTCCCAAAAGTTACTGCAAGAAATGTTTTTGCAATGCTGAGCAAAACACTGTATGTGTATGCAGTATTCTGATGCATGACTATTTTTAACTTTACTTCTTTCTTGACCAATGACCCAACTCACAATCTGGACAGAGACAGGGAAGCAACCTCCAATTCAGTGAAGTATGGAGCTGTAGAGTATTAATATTCACTATGTGAATGGCGAGAACTGTACCACTAAGACATACTACTCAGTGGTAGCTAGTAAACGGAGGAATATGATTTAAGTCAATAAATCACACCTTGATACATTAGCCTTTCTTTCTTGCTACCTGCAACAGATCCCATCTGTGTAAGACACTGTCTTTGCTGCTCTACAGTTCGATACACTGGCACTGCTACAGACCTGCAGAAAAGCAAGTTTTGCTAGGACTCAAATCTGGTTGGGTCACAGCATCCCTGCCTGGTCAAAGACAAGCCAATCTATTATGCTGCCTGGTGTTTCGAGCAGGCAGTAAATTCTTCTTTACCATGCCTATTTGCACAGCCTGCTCCTTTCTTTTGAATTTTAGTGAATAAAAAAAAATTGAATAAATAAAAAAAAGAATTCTGATGCTACTAGTGAAAAAGCATAGACCCTATGACACCCCCATGAGTTTATAGTATTTCCCATGACAACAAAGTAATAATCTCACCCTAAAACCACTTTGGCTAGAAATTTTAGCTTAAATCTTCGACCTTCACTTCTGGCAAAAAGCAATGAAGTATCAATAACACTGGGGTGTGTCATCTGGAGGAGAGAAAACATCACCAGTTTAATTTAAGAACAGCAGTCATACAAAATTGAGCAGTAAATCCATTGTTATCGGCACCTCCACTTTTACATTTCAGTTGCCAGTCTCTCAATGATAGATAAATGGTCCACAACAAGAAAACAGACAGGAATAATGAGACAAGTCAAACTCTCCTTTCTAACACACTATTTGGAAGATCTAGATTGGGTTAGAAAGATTAATTATGATTTTAGGTTGGTTTAATTAAATATAGGAAGGACTTCAGTTCTTCCTATGACAGAGTTATCAAAAGCACCTGGCTAAAGCAGAGGTAAAGCTTCTTTAACTCTATCTGTCTGGACTGACTTCTCTCTTACTTCTGGGTTCTGAATAGCCCTTTGCAAGCTTTTATAGGTGTAAAGAGAGTCTTTCAAATTTTTACAGACAAAGGGCTATTCATAATAAAAAGCAATTAACAAGTGTTCACTAATAAAAAGGCTAATTGTTTAGAACTTTCAGGCCTGAAATCAGTATCACAGGGTTGGGAAAAATACTCTTTAAAGGCTTACTCACTTTCAAAGCCTGAAGATCACCATTTAGAGAATGACCCACCAATACTGCATCATCGGGAAGCAACTTTTTTAGTCTCGTCTGGATGTCCGGCAGTCTTGTTTTCACTGGAAACAGCATTGTCTTTGTGATTCCTGAGAATCTTCAAAACAAAAGTTGGATGAGCAACACATTAGCAACAGCGCTCACTGGAGAATATTACAAGCAGGGCATGTAAACTATGCAAGAATGCTAGTTACTGCTTTCTATTCCAACATTAGAGGATATACTGTAGGTATATTTACCTGCTATAAGTGCTACCACAGCTGTTTCAAAAGTTTCTCTCTCCCAAGTAGAACTTAAGTGATGCAGTTCTTAGCATCAGATAGCACAGGTGAGGAAACACTGTGAGACTGATGAAGGTGGAGGAGATGCTTCCAAATAACCTGAGGGGAATCACATCACTTCCTGCATAAAGCAGGGCAAAGTTCTGAAGAAGACAAGGCTTGAATTTTGCCTGCTTTTGTGGTAACCCTGAGCTCAGCCCTAGTGGTGTGTGAAAGCTGATGAGCTATTCTATTCTCTTTTTACAGATGAGTAAACTTTGCTATGGAGGAGACACAGACTGCAATCCTATACTCTTACCCTGTTTCCTATTTTATAGCCAGCAGTGAAGGTAACTTGTACTGTACATCATTAATCTGTAAGAGAACTTTTCCTAGAACACTGCAGAATGATATTATTACTGCCTAGCCACAGTGTGCTGTGTAGCAGAGTGTATACATCATGCTGGTTATTCTAATTGCATAGCAAGAACTGTGTTCTTAACTGAGTAAAATGCAGTAGACATCTGTCTAAGCCTAAGCCTTCTGAAAGGGCCTGTGTAACAGGTTTAATCTGAAAGGGCTGCAGCTCTTAAAGACAAAGAAATAAGAGTTATGTGCAAGTCACCTGGTGCGGTAGTTCAGTACTGTGCTTTCAGGTTTGACCAGTTCATTCAAGAGGCATTGACCCTGTGCATCCACCAGAGAGACACGAGTGACTTCATTCCCTTTCTCAGTCAGGCACTGTGAGGAAGAAGCAAGAGGCTGTTGTTGAATCAGCAATGATGACGGCACTCCAAAACTTCAGGTAACATCTGCTTTGGATGCAGCCAGCATCGCTACTACGGAGTTACTCAACTCATAGCTAGTTGTTTTATACTGTAGCATGCTTTATTTTAATTTTTAAATGCCCACCGTAAGCACAGCAAACATACAGGCATGCACAACACAAAGAAAACCATTATAAAGAAGTGCCGATTTCACAGAATCAGTCTGTACTCTGCACTGCAGCACTGTCACTGAGAGCTTCTTCACCAGAGATGTACAGTTTAAAAGCAGAGACCAGGTTGTATCGTTAGTTACTCAATGCTGATACCAAATAGGCATCTCTGCAAGGTCAAAACTGCACTAATCTTCACAGCATGCTGCCAGAACTGCGATGGCTAAAGGAAAGATGTGTGAAAGGGAAGTATCTCTCCCTTCCCAAACCTTGGGGAGGACTGGGAGGAGTAATTCCCCAGCAGTCTCAGGGGTTACTGCAGCATTTCTCATGGGCCTGGCAGATCCAGCTGCTGCTCTGACAGCCAAAGCAAAACTGAGCTCTCTGCTGCACTCCTCAAGATAATATTTGTCTTGTCACCAGAACCACTTCCACTTGCCATGGCTGCACTTGCACTGGTGCCATCAATGAAGGGACTGGCAGCAGATACTAATATATCAGAAGTGGTTTAGCAAATACACAGGGTGCTTGGCTCGCTTTGGAACAGCTGATAGGAGTTTGGTTGCTTGACTGTATTCTGTAAGGCCAAACACATTTATTTTTTACCATTTCACAATCCAGACCAAAGAGGGGGCTGCTGTGTGTCCTCTGCTGATCACAATCTGTATGTACATAGCCCTTACATGCAGGGGAGCCTAGAATGAAAAGATACCCATGGATAAGAAACAGACCTCTCTCTTCTAAAACTTATTATATATCTTATATGACCAAACAAATTACTTTCAACCACTCCCCCCCTCAATGTATTAAAAACAAAAAGCACACAACAAAACAACCAAACAGAAGCCCTCAAAAACTGACCTCTTATGGGATAGCAATTTTTTTCCTGTTCTTCTAAAGTTAGAGTATAGCTAGTAAGGCCTTGTTTTTTTCCTCCGTATTTCTGTATGATTGGATCATGTTGCAAGTCTGAGCTTTTAGGAACACATTCACTGCTAGTGGAAGTCAAACCTGTAAAATACAGAAGCAACTGTTTAGCTCAGATACCACTCCCTACTTGCAGTCAGCTTTCTGCATTAACACGCGCACCAAAAGGGTACAGCATTTCAAAGAAAAACACTGCCTGGAACAATAAACTGGAGAGAGAAAGCTAGATAGACAGACAGACAGATATCTATCTCCAGTTTATTTTTATACATGTATCGCCTTTTTTTTGTGTATCTCCAGTTTATATCTCATTTCCTGTGTGTACATGTATATTTATTTATATACACACTATATACATTATATATAAACAATATTATATAATATATATAGTGTACATAATAATATAAAAATATAACTGATATTCAGGATACATTTATCTTTTCCCAGTTCAGCTACTGACACTGCTGGCTGATTCAGAAGCAAGTCTCATCACAAGTCACTGTCTCACATTCCTTTCAGAAACAGAGAAAACAAACTTTCCTCGTAAGCACAACAACATAATCATGTTACCTCATGTGAGCTGTAGAAGAAGTTTTGGGTTTTTATTCTACCTTGTGAAACTCTTTCTTGTGTTATCTGGAGAAAATGTTCTCTAAGTGTGGCTCACAAAGAAGCAAGCACTGAATTGACACCAGAATCCATAGCTGTTGAAAGTTAAACTACCATGTAGGGGACTCTCTGCAGATTGCACTGAAAAGAAAAATATATCTGACATCTCTGATCTGTGACTGCACAGTAGGTTTACAGTCAGGGTGCTAGAGGGCTTTGTCAATACAGTGAAAGTAACAGCTGTTCATTCTCCCATTTGGACTTGAATTCAAGATTCTTTGTTACACTTTAACAATTTCAGTGAAGTAGAATTTCGCATTGTAGACTCTTGCAGGTTTTGTACAAGCCTGTTGAATTACAATCACCTCTATGAAGAGTGTAAAAATAGGAAATCAATCAACACAGCTTTTCTTTACCTCGATTTGCTGCTCAGTATAACAACAGAAACTAAGAAGAAATTAGTAACTACTTAGCTTGAATCTAATTTATATCTCTGTATCTGTTTTTAGATACATCTTAGAATAAAACAATTACAAAACAGGTAATGAAGCATCAGAATTTTGGATTAAACATATTAAGAACATTCTCTCTGCTTTTTGCATTTACTTGTGACAATAAGCCCATCAGAGAGTCACTGGTTAAGTAACTACTTAGGGTAACTAGTCTCATGGTACAAGCCATTGTATGTTTTCCTTTCTAAACAAGTTTACCATAGCAGCACACTGGGATTGCACAGGATGCAAAGTCATAAATTGCTGTTGAAAGCATATGGTTGAAAGAGACGATGCAAAACCAATCAAGATACCTCGTGCAGCGTTCTGAGGTTTCGGGTTTGCTCCTTCTCCATACAGGCTGGCCAGGAAGTCAGCGGAAGGTGTTAATGTGAATCTCTGAAAAATGAGATGTGTCAAGAGACTTTGCAACAGAAGCAGAAATAGCAAGAAAGTGAGATGTTTCTTGATCCCCAAACCAGACAAATTTAGAGGAGGATGGATAAAGAAGTACTGGAAACATGTTAAGTATTTTCCCAAGGAAATAAAAAAACCAAACAAAACCTGTTTTTATGACAGATGATACAGGATTCTTTGTACTTGGAGACAGATTTGCCTTGCCTGATATGATCAAGGCGGCAAATCCCTTTATTCTCTTTGATAGAAAGTAAAGCACATCCCAGACTTCCCAGTTAAGTTGTGATTTGCATTTGCTGCAGCTCAGGGAGAATTCTCTAGAAGTCTGAATCCAAGTGCTTCTTTCTCCCTTCAAAAATATTGCTTGTAACTCAGAAAATAAAAATAATCCTCTTAATAACCTTTTTGGGAAATGGGAGAAACTTGACATAAAGTGTAAATCATAAGAGTGGATTTTTCAACCAAAGGGAATAGCATAACTCTATCAAGTCTCCTCACTCAGAGTAAATTCCAACTTAACCAAGGTATTTTTAATCTCATTGGCATCCTGAAGATGCAGAAAGCATAATAGTCAGAGGACTGAAACATCAATACATGTTTCACCTGGTAAGGCTTCAAAGACAGAAGTCTTGAAAACCTGTTTCTAATATCAAAGCCTTGGTCTTTGTTCTTAGCTGACAAAGGCTACAAAGAGATCCTCTCATTAGCTTGCTTTGAGAGTCAAAGATTGCCACTTCCTATTGGAAAAGGCAGTAATTTCACTGCAGTGATTAATCCCTGGGACATAGTTTCAGGACTGGCATAAGCTTAGAAGAGAGCAATACAGTCTGGGGACTTACATGCCGGAACACTTTTCTGAGGTGTTTGAACTGTAAATAGAATTTGTAGAAATGGAGTAGGCTCACTTCATGTAGAACAATAACCACAACTCCAGCCAGGTGGCTTTGGTGATAAATACGGCACCAGCTGCAGTTTAAAAAAAATAATTAAAAAAAATAAATCAAAGCACAACAATTATGAAGCACTCTTAAAAACAAACTTGGAACCAGCCCAACTCTTCAGTCAGTGAACGGCAAAGTGCCAAATGACTTCAATGAGAAGAGACTTTATAGCTTATCTCAAACAGCCACATATTCCTGGAAGCACCATAATATGGGAGAAAAAAAAGAATGAGTTATAGGAAAATTCTGCTGTGGTACGATTTCAAGACATTTATACCTCATTTATATGCATTAGAATTTGAATACACAGGAGTAACTTCAGCTGTAGTGAGGCAGTCTCGTGAATTAATGCATCAAAAAAAGTTTCACAAAATTTTCTATTCACTACTAAATATCTAAAGTGGGATCATTTTTGCCTTAAGTTTCATTTCAGGATTCATTATATTTCACTGTATTTTTGCCATATGATGTTATATACCTTCCTCAGCCTTTCCCTTCCATGGCCAAGAAACTGCCCTGAAAAAGGGCAAAGTGAATAAAATGTTTTTCCCAAAACACTCTACAACACCCTGTTTCAATTATACCTGACATCAAAAGTGTTAATATTTTTTGTGTTGCACGAATATTTCTAACATGATAATTTGTTTCTCTGTGTGTGAAGCTTCTTTGGTTCCACAAAATTCTTTAGTTTTTGATAACTGCATGAAACAAAACTATGAAATGGTAGAATTTTTGTCAGAAGAGGAATTCTGGTCTCTGACCAAGTCCAACAACAACTGTACCTACATCATACAGGCTGTCATTATGGTAACTGCATTGCAGGAATTCCAAAACCAGCATGGCCAGTGTGCCTTTAGCTATGTGTTCACAACATGTGAGGACACAGGACAGGGTTAATTCCCAAATACGAATGTGTTATACCTGGGTTGTGTTGCATTATGGCATTTTCCCAAAGCTGCATACTTTAACAACTCAAACAGCTGGTCATGGCTGATTTCGCAGTCCTCACCAAATAAGGCTGCTGACAAGCGAGGTGACTTTTCCTGTAAAAAGGGAAATGCTAGTAAAGAAAGGTTTCATGTAATCACACAAGTTCATGGAAAATTAAGTGAATTATACGGTAGAAGGAAGCTATTTAGTATTTAGATACCATCAACTACATTTTAAATAACTATTCCACTCATTATAAGCAAAAGTTTCCTTTCAGATCACACTTTAATATTAAATTTACTATCAATATTTCAGTAACCTACATACTCTAACTTCAAAGATTTATTTAATAAACATTAATGTAAGTAGATGTATGCAGTAAGGAGACTGAAAGTTATTTGATCTGCAAACACGATGTTCTGTTCTCTCAGTCCATTCACCCACTTGCTGCTGTAGAGCTCTAGGTATTTATACAAGTGTTCTATGTAGCCACGCTGTGCAAGGTTTTGCTGAAACCTATTTACTTCATTTACATGTTGTGATCTGTTTTGGCAGATGGGTTTGCTGACCCCTGCAAGACAAAAACTGTTCAGTAGCATCCAAGGAAACTGTAGGAAGAAAGCATCGTGTGAGTTTGAGTGGAGACTGCACCACGCAGTTCAACACAACAGTTCTTTAAGCCAAACTCTCTGTAAAGCTAATCAGCAAGGAAATGCATTATTTTGGAGACCTCCACTGACCATATGGCTGGCCTGTTCCAATGAGCTCCTTTGATCTGTAAAAATGTTAAAGATACTCTTTTTTATGTGATGAAAACACATCACGGCATACAGGGACCACAGAACACCACTGAATATCAAATCCCACAGGATAAACAACTACCAGAAGTTGTGTTTTCCTCACCACGCTAACAAGCCTTGAGCTCATTAATTCTGGCAGAGCACACCCATGTGGGACTGAGCTGGTGCACTTCTAAAGCAATTTGTCACTGGGTAAGAAAGCTCAACAGAGGTGACAACCTTTGAGATTCAAGTGGTTAAGAATCATCTAGTAATAATAACAGAGCATGGTGTAATTGCTAGTCCCTCATCTCTTCTGCTAAGTTAGACAAATAAGCAAGAACACCGCTGTTTGTAATACAGCCTAATTAGAGCTTTGCAAAAACACCCCAACCAAACAGTAAGTTTAATTTCACCAAGCAAAGGCTACCTGTCAATCACAGGAATTTCAGTCTTTGATTAGGTACAAATGAGACTGATCTCACAGGTCAGACATGCTTCCTCTTGTCCTATATTGGGCACTAGGTTAGCTGCGACCTGGGCTAATTACATGGGGTTGAAACTTCGGGTTGATTTGCATCAGGCATGAATGGGCTGAGCAAATGCAATGCTCCTTTCAAGATCTACTTTGTTTAGGAAAAAGTTATATTGGAAAGCATATTTATTTTTAACAAAATTCCTTAAGTGTAAATGACTAACACTCCAAATGAGTTCATTTCCAGACGAATGAACTTCGTGCAGAAACAAAGCCATTGCCCGTGGGTACTGCTTTTAGCCAACACGCTAGCAAGACTAGTAGTAAAACACGTTTGTGCCGAGTTTCCAGCATCCCAACGCGCGATGCAATGAATCTACCCACAAGGAGGCTATAAGAGGGAAACACTGCCCAGCCACAGGCCTGTACCGCGTTGCTGCTCACCTCGGGGTCCCGGCCGCCGCCATCCACCTTCCTCCTCTTCCGAGCCGGCTGCCGTCCCCTCGCCTCCTCACCAGCTCTAGCGGGCCGTTTGTACCCGTTTACGCAGTGGGCCTTTGCCATGGCCTAGACGAAAATACCGCGGGATCAAGGCGGCGAGGGGCGATGCCGGCAGGACCTCTCACAGCGGGGCAACAGCCGGGGACCAGCCCCGGCTACTCCGGGTCAGGCCCCTTTGAGATTAGGCCCCTGGCCAGGCCCA